GAGCACAGGTTTGTGCCTGGGCAGAAATGAGGAATAGCAAAAGCCCTCCCTTCACCCCAAACTTATTCTAGATCCACTTACCATGCCTCAGAATCACTTCAAATGCTCATGTAAAATGCATAATCTATGCATCACCCCAAATGTTCAGAATCAGTAGATCTGGGGTGAGGGCTGGGATTGCATTTTGAATAAGCACCTTAGGCAATTTTGGTATAGATGGACTGCAAGCCACACTTAGAGAATCACTGACCTAAATCGTGTCAAAGCCAGACAACTCAAGATTGCCGAAAGGGAGATAGCATTCTTGCCTTTGGAATGTCTGAGCTGGCTGGGAATTGTTCAGAGGTGACACAAAGGCTGTAAGAAATATATGACTCTGGAAAAGATGGACCGCAAGTTATCATGAACATTGGGGAAAAGAGGCTTCTGTGACCCTTACCAACTCTCCCTTGAGATAAGTTTGAGGTATCATATTTCTCTCTTCTCTCTTGAATTTATAGAAATTACTAGGAACTCATGTCTGAATCAGGTTGGGCTGCTATAACAAAGTGCCACAGACTGGGTGGCTTAAAGAACAGACATTTCTCACAGTTCTGCAAACTGAAAAGTCCAAGATCAAGGTGCTGGCAGATTTGGTTCACGGCGAGGACCCACTTCCTGGTTGTAGGCTTTTTCCTGTACCCTCACACGGTGGAGAGAAGCAGCTCTGGAGTCTCTGCCTCTTCTTGTAAGGGCACTAACCCTTGCAGGGGCTCCACCTTCATGACCTCCTCTAAACCTAATTATCCCCCCAAAGGCCTCACCTCCTAATGCCACCATATTGGGGCTTCAACACATGAATTTTGGAGGAGAAACAACATCAATTCATAACAACTGGCTTGATCTTTTCTCCATTAGCCCATGATGTTCAGGGGGCCACAGCATGTAAGGGAAAGGGTCCTAGTCCATAACCACCTCTGAGCCCCCTTGTCTGTGCCTCCCAACTCTCTGTATGGCCCCCTGGAAGGGTCTCCTCACGCTCTCTGAGGACTGCCTGTTTCTGTGTCTCTTCCTCTCTCTTCCTCCTTCCACCAACCACCTCCCACACACACCAGACTGAGGATTCCTCCAGTGCAGAGAATGTGTCTGATTTCTCTTTTGCCTCCAAATACTCAACACGGCGCATGGCCCAGAGTAGGACAATTAGGAAATGTGTATTGAAATTAGGCAATGGGCTAAGGCAAGCAGGGCTGGGTGGGCTGGAGATGCTTCCAGGCAGATAGAGAATCCTTTGGAGTAACAAGATGATGACAGAGACCTGAGGCCTTCAGAGAGGGAGAGCCACATGGAGGACAAGGTCACAAACTAGGAGAGCTACATTTCCTGATCACCAGCTGCATCCGTCTGCTCAGCTGCCATAACAAAGTGCCATGGACTGGGTAACAATAGAAATATGTTTTCTCACAGTTCTGGAGGACAGAGGTCCAAGACCATGGTGCCATCGGGGTTTGCTTCTGGTGAGGGTTCTCTTCCTGGCTTGTCAGTGGCTGCCTTCCAGGTGTACGTGGCCTCTTTGTGTGCATGCGGAGAGAGAGCAAGCTCTGAAAAGTAGAACTACCATTTGATCCAGCAATCCCATTACCGGGCATCTACCCAAAGGGAAAAAAGACATTCTATAAAAAAAGACACCTGCACTAGAATGTTTATAGCAGCACAATTCACAATTTCAAAGATATGGAAACGATCCAAGTGCCCATCAATACATGAGTGGATTAATAAAATGTGGTATATGTATACCATGGAGTACTACTCAGCCACAAAAAGCAATGGTGATCTAATACGTCTTGTATTATCCTAGATAGAGCTGGAGCCCATTCTACTAAGTGAAGTATCCCAAGAATGGAAAAACAAGCACCACATGTACTCACCATCAGATTGGTATTAACTGATCAACACTTACATGCACGTATAGTAGCAACATTCATCGGGTGTTGGGCAAATGGGAGGGGGAGGAGGGGATGGGTACATACATACATAATGAGTGTGCTGTGTACCTTCTGGGGGATGGACATGCTTGAAGCTCTGATTCGGGTGGGGCAAAGGCAATATATGTATCCTAAACATTTGCACCCCCATAATATGCTGAAGTAAAAAAAGAAAGAAAGAGCAAGCTCTGGTGTCTCTCCCCCCGCCCCCCACTGTTGGATTAGGGCCCTGCCTTACAACCTCATTTAACCTTAATTACCTCCTTAATGGCCCTATTTCCAAATACAGTCACATTGGGGGTCTGGGCTTTCATATATGAATTTGGAGGGGACACAGTTCAGTCCATAACATCTACTGTGGGGCAGGCGCCCTTCATCTCTTTCCAATACCCTTTTAGGGTAAATATTATTATTGCCTGTTCATAGATAAGGCTTCCAACGCAGTAGTAAGATCCTGAGTTCCGAGCCCGGAGTTCCTAGGTTTAAGTTCTGACTTTACTATTTACCAGCTGGTTGACCTTGGGCAAATTGCTAAACTAAAAATGGGATGGTTGTGAGAATTATCTAAGAAAATACATATAAAGTGCTTAGAACAATGACCTGTCACATAGTAAGTCTCAAAATATTTCAGTCACTCTCCCTCTGACAGGCTGGGGAGACAAATGCAGCACGTCACTGGGAATAAGGATAAAGGATTTGAAACAAAGACTGTTTTCTTAACTAAGGAGCTACATCACCCTGAGTCACCTGCCTCGAAGCATCTTGGGACTAGCAGGTGCCCACTGCCTTCCTCTTCTCTTCCTCCTCCTGCTCCTCTCTCCCCCTTGGCTGACCATAATCTGAAAGTTTAGTGTTATGTATGTTATTAATACATCAAATAACTTTTTATTTGCTTTGTTACTCATTTATTTAAAGTGTGGGGATTTAATGCATTGTTGTTCTCATCCCTAAAAAATTCTCTAACATTATTCTTATGTGGTGCCACATATCACACTCAGGCCTCAAATTCGTACTTAACAGCACCCTGTACTTAACAGCACCTTAATTCAGGCACCCTATACTTAACAGCAACAAAACTATCCATTCCTTCTTCTCTGCTGCCACCCCGTGGCCATATCAGGTTACAACCAATATTTCTACATGCTTTGGCAAGGTTGGGGATTTAATTTAATCTTGCTGGC